AAAAAAAAAAAAAAAAAAAAAAAAAAAAAAAAAATTTTGAGACAGGGTCTTGCTAAATCGCTAAATTGCCTGGGCTCTAACTTGCAATCCTTTTGCCTCAGTCACCCAGAGTGGTAAGATTACATGTGTGGGGAAATCAACACTTTCATAAGCAAAAAAATAATCAAATATTGGCATTTTTATACAGTGTAACACTAATAGAAATAATTCACTAATAAAAAAGGAAGAATTTAATGAGACTCGCTTGTTTAAAATTTGACAAAAACATAAAAATAAAAATTGAATTTGACAAAAATACATATTCCTGAGCTATAAGGGATACTGTGTTTCAGAATGGATGTTTTAAAAGAGTAAACATGTGTCTGGATATTTCATAATTGGAATTTCGTATTTCATAAGGCATGTTAATAACTGTAACATCACAAAGAGGCGCTGGAATCTTCTACCTGTCAAAAGCATAGTGAAGGGGGAATACAGACATCTTTATTGCTAACAGCTATTTGTTTCAATATAAGTAACTGAGATAGTTCAACAGGAACCTAAAATTTTCATGAAGCTTTTCTGTGGTCCAAATTATTAAAGAGAAAATTAAAAGTCTAACTGAAACTTGCTTTCATGTCTCCTTCTTTCATGACCAGAATAAACACTCTGTCAGGAATACTTGGGAGAGCCCTGCTTCCTTGGGTGAGTGGCATGCAGCTCCACTCAGGTTGTGCAGCAGACTAGAGACAAGAGAGCGCCGACATGGCCATGATATTAATCTGCTGCACAATGTTAGGAAAAATTACCTGACCTCCTGAGGCACTGCGTCTCTCCCTGTAACATGAAATGAAAAAACAGCTAATGTAGCTGAAAGGATTGTGGTACGGGACAACTTCAGAAGTGCTCTGAAAATGCGCCATGTAAGTTAACTAGACAAAATCAACTTGCAAGAATTGCCATGTTGATGGGCATGGTGGCACACCTGTAATCCCAGCACTTAGGAGGCTGAGGCAGGAGGATCGCTGAGAGTTTGAGGTCAGCCTGGGCTACACAGTGAGTTCAAGGCCAGTCTAAACTATGTAGAGAAACCCTGTCTTAAAAAGACAAAAACAAAAACCAAAGAATTGCCATTTTTTTAATAGACAAAACATCAGTGAGAACTTAAAGTGAACTCAGTTTGGCACATTTCGAATCAGACCACGTATTCAATATTTTCAATTTACAATCTAATTGTATTTAACATTCAACAACAGTAACACCACTGAAATAAAGCCCAAACACACAAACACATGATTTTGTCTTTCACCTTGGAATTCCCTCCTGTGGCTTCTGGGAACACCAAAAAGTCCTTGAAACAACTGACCTTACTGCATCGGGACAGAACAGAAGTGCTTGGGCCACAGGCTGAGGAACAGAGCGCAGGGTTCCTCATAACCTGAAGTTCCACGTGCACATCACCTTCATAAATGCTTCAAAATAACAAACCAATGGTACTTAAGATGTAGAGATAATTAAAATAAACTGTTTACAAATATTCCATTGATAAAAGGGGAAAGAAACAGGCCAAAGGGACAGAACTTGCACCAAAAAAGGATGTAACTAGGAAAAGTGCTAAGAACTTAGATGAGCTGCAGACATTTTTGAAACCCACACATCCAATACACACCCCACGCAACCGTCTTGCAATGCTGAATGCTACCAAGTCCACAGAGAGCCTTGGAACAGAAACGAGTCTCACTAGGCACCAGCCCAAGTATGAGAAGCAACACTCAGCACCTGTGGCCAACCGAGAAGCGAGAGGAACAGATGGCACACCTGGTTCCATGGTAAGAAACCGATGGCATCAGCAGAACCCAGCAGACGCTTCCCTGTTCAACATCTCCTCGTTTCCAAAGTGTCATCTCACTTCCCTTCTAAGTCAGTAAGGCAAATCTAAACTTAACCACAGGATTTCTCCTGAGAGAATTTCATATGGGAAAGTGAAGAGCGTCCTGGAACTCAGCCTCAGACTTCACCAGAGGATCGGATTGGCAAGGGAGGGCAGGCCAACTGCTTCCAAACCAGGAATGTCCGTGGCGGGGGGCGGGGGTGTTGGGGCAGCTGGACCGGACCAGAGACAGAGGCTGCAGAATCCGACACAGGCTGGGCACACTGTGGCCCAGACGTGCTGCAGTAAAGGCAATGGCACTTCCTAAAACACCAGATGCTATTTAGGGGAGATTTTCTTTGGAAAACAGTTTGGAGATTGGCTTTCAATCCCAACAAAATTAGAATTTTCCACTATTTTAAAGTTTTTCTTGAAATACAAGTCTCTAAGATAGGTGAAGATTAAAATGGATGCTGTTTATATAATACCTAACCTCACACAAAACCAGCTAATTGTTCTTATTTCTTCACTCAGGCACCAAACATGACCTGTGACTAGGACTTACACCAAATTCAGGTTCATCACACATGAAACCACTGCCACGCTGTACCTATCTGTATAGATCCTACTGTTCTAGTATTTCCTTCTTTTACTTAGCAGTTAAAATGGAGGGAGAACTAGCTATTATGCAAACCATGCTCTATGTATTCAGTGTGGCATTTTTATAAACCATACGTGCACATTTTATAATCACTAGGAACTACCTGTTCTGCTGAAATACAGAAGCTTGCCACTACTGGCCAGGCTTCTTCTTCAAAAGGGCAAGAGTCCTACGGGACACCCTCCTGAAACCCAGTGGTGACACACTTTTGAACTGCCATTAGCTCGCAGTATGAGCCTATTATCTGACAGACAGGCTGGCAGTCGGGGAACTCGCCTGCACGCGCCCCCAGGAAGGTGCAGAGCTCATCCTTGCCACGTGGTGCCACGCAGGAAGCGTATCCTCGACCATCTCATGTGCAGGGCCATTGATGTGGACTGGAAGTTTTATTCTTTTATCATAATGTGACTTTAGGTGTCTATACATGTAGAAAACAGCAGCAAACACCTAATTAGTATGGACAGTATTCACTGAAGAACCCACTTTCTAATTCACTGTCTTGGGATTTTTACTTCCCAGTCTCTCTTGTAAACCTCGAAAGGCTCGAGGCTCTGGGTGACAGGGGAATCTTCCTTCCTGACTGCAACTAAAAATCTTCCTGGCTAGCTCTGAATTAGCTAGTTTTACACAGCTGTCACCCCAGAGACAGTGCTTCCCACTTTCCTGTTTCACAGTGACTCCAGCAAGACAAACCATAGGAACTCAACAGCCACAAAATGCAGAGCAGAAAAGGAATCTACTGTCACACACACACAGACTTCCCACTGATGGGGCGCAGGAAGCTGGAACAGACACATTTAGTTGCTGGTCACTTTCCTCAGCTTGAAGTGACAGGCCTTCCAAATGCTATCTGAAAAAAACCTACAGAGGAAAAACAAGAATCCCAAGCCATGCTACTCAAAACTGACACACACTAAGATGGCATACAATCTTTGTTTTGATGAACAGTAACAAGTGGAAAAGGGAGCTGCCCCAAACCCTGAAATCATGAGGCAGTTCAATCAGTCACAGAAATAACGTCTGTGCAGCAGCGCTGCACTCCGAGTTTTTTCTCATTCCACTTCCCTGATACACAACACAGTCAAGGCTACCCATGCCCATCAACCGTGGGAATGGCCAGTCTCCCAGCAGGGTAAAGGACTCACCTCGCAGAAGAGGGTAAGTTTGTCATCAGGGAGAAGCCCGTTGGCCTCATCCAAAAGAAAATCTCTACGGATGAATTTTTTGAATCCCCAGTCTTTGCCTTGCACAAATCTATAAGCTCGTTGACTCTCTGGGATGAAAAAAAAGTCATATTTAGGGTTACTCAAAAACCGGTTCAAATCTACAACCTGTCTGGGTATGAAGCTGCTGGATGTGGAAGTAGTCAAGAGAAAAGGACATTTACCCATAGCTTTGGTTTCCTCTCCCTTGGCGTTCAGAATGGAGAATTTGAATTTTGCCCGAACTTCACTCTTTGGACAGCTGACCAGTAACAGGTAAAGGGACAGGTAATCTTTGCTCTCTTCATCGAGCCCTTTTGGGTTTACTCGTAAACACCTGCCCAAAACAGACAGGAAAAACGGGTCAAAAACACCCTTACCCGTAGGTGAAGTGACAGTGTAGACGTAACGTTGGAATTAAGAGAAGTTACAAGAAAGGGTCCAGGCCCAGTGCCAGATTATGGCTCAGCAGAATGACTACTTGCAAACCACTTTTCTAGAGTGATCTGGATCACCTTTTAAAAAGTAAACAACAAAGGAGCATTCTAGAATCAACAAAACACCCCTTGAATCTCGCCTTTCTTTCTCATAACCTCCCAATTCATCCTTTTTCCTCCTCAAATACTTGAAAATTCAGCATGTCTTGTTACATTACAATCTTCAATCTTAGAAAAGGAAGCCCTTAATTTTGTTGGGATGATGGCAAGACCATGAATAAAAAGGTTAATGAAGCCTTTAATATCAATGTTGAGAGACAAAATATTCTAAAGAAATATATCCCCGGCCTACAGATATTTTATCAATGTGGCAATAATATTCTAAGATTTAAATAAAGGAGGCAAGATGGAGGAAGCACAGACAAAAGTAAGCTCCTATGACACACTGCGGAGTTCCAAACCAGGCTTCTAAGTAGAGTTAGAGATGCCAGTCTGTTACAGATGAGTCAAAACAAAATTCAGACAGAACTAACAGGTTCAGCTGAGTTAAGTTCTAAATGTCATTAGCTGAACGCATGTGGTTCAGACACTGTTTCTGCCACCCAAACCCACAGGCCATATGCACCCCCTTAGGCCTTGCCAGTGTTGTGGCACCTTTCTCAGACAGGTGGCAGCATCCAGTGCCTCTCTGGGGAATGCAGATGCCACACACATCACAACACAATATGCTAAAGATGATTCAAATACAATGCCTAAGAATAAACATTTCTCTGAACACATAGTGGGGTACACCGCTTGACATACATAGTCAACAAATACTAAATGAATGAATAAACAACCATTCAGCAGGTTATTAGGATCCAAAATGGTGATTCAGAGATAAGTTTTCAGGCGGGGGATGCAGTTCAGTGGCGGAGCACTTGCCTCACATGCATACGGCCCTGGGTTCAAGCCCCAGAAGCATGAAACAAAGCAGAGGTCAGAGAGCGTTTTGGTCTCTGTGGCGAGCATCAGAGTATACCCTCAGAATGCCTGTTCCCCCTCAAGAGGACACATGGTTTAGATGGGACTGAGCCACTCCCAGATCACACTCCCCCTGGCGCAGGGATTAGCTCCTGGGACCTAGACCTAAGCCCTCAGTGCATCCATCACATATTCCTGGCCACACAATCAGTTCCAAGAGAGTCCACACGCCTTCATGAGCATGTAGTGGGTTTCGGCCCTTGCCAGCACAAGGGAAGCCAGTGCAGAGCCTTCCTACAGCATGGAGACTGGGCAGCGCAAAAAGAGATGAGGTCTTTCATCTCACCACTGGCCTGCTGAAACCAATCTTGCATGCCCGTCGGTGTGGTTACAAAGGCAAATAAATCCCCTTTTCTGCTTAAAAGTAGGCAATTAAAAAGTCTTAATTTTTACATTAAAATCGAAGTATCTTGCTTTTCTTGAAAAACCAGAAAATCTTGCAATGGTCAGGTATTACTCACAGATAGCTGTGGTGGCCAGAGCTTAGTAGCTAGCGCTCCTTTTAGAAGGATACTTGTTAAATGCCATGCAATCACCATACGTAAATGGTGTATCATTTATAACACTGGTTCTCTTTTTATTTATATTGCCCTATGAGCTCAAGTTTGCTGATCCCTGATACGTACTGAATTAATTCAAAGCTTTAGTGAGCACCTATTATATGCCAAGTACCAGGGGTACAGTAAAAACAAAACAAAATCCCTGCCTTCAAGGAACTGATATTCTAGTCAGTGTCCCATAAAAACAAGCAAAACAGGCAAAAATTTTTATGGAAAAAGTATTTATAGCTAGAACTGTTCTTCCTCACCATTTCAGTTTATCATTGGCTCCTGATGAAAAGGTTGAACTTTTAATGACTTCACCCATTTCCTCTCGGCAAAAGCTAAAGTTATTGATGGTCCACATGTAGGAGAATTTCACTACTTTGATCTGTTGATAGAAAACCAGGAAGTGATTACTTGGGAAGGGGGCAACCTGAAAAAATAGGCTGAAGATCAGAAAAGCATTTCCCTCCTCCCTCTCTGTTTAACCCCCATAGGAAAAGCACTGTTCAGCCAGCATGGAAGTTTAGGTTTTTTCTTGCCTTAGGTTCCTCATTCACAATTTTAAGAAATCTCACACTGACCAACTACTTTTACAGTTTTTGGTTTCTGAGAAACACTGATGGAAAGTGAGAAAAATATGGACAGGAAAAAATAAAAAATAACAAAACATGGACAGGGTTAGGAAAGCAAATGATGAAATTATACCCGAAATAGTCTGCAACTGACACATCAATGCCACAGTTTAGGGCTGCAAAGGTCAAACTTTGCTCCACCAACAGAGGAAACTTAGAACAGGTTTCCATTAAGGGGGCTATTACAGAATCTAGTTTTAAAGAGTTCCCCCTTCAACAACCACTGAAAAACACTAGTCTTAGGGATTCTGACTCCAAGGGAAAATCCAAGGAATGCGAGGCTATCTGGCAGTTATGGCCCAGAGAAAGTAGGAAACCCAATACAGAAAAGCAATCCTATTCTTTTTGTCCACCAAATCCTTCCAAAATGCAAGATTTTACAGGGTGAAAACACGAACTTACCTGTGTGTAGCACCAGCTCTCAGCTACAGGGCCACTCGACATTTCTGCCGGAGGTGGAGGACTTGGAACCCTTGACATCGCCAGTTTGAAAGTTAAACAAGGTTTCCAAAGTCACGGGGCAAAGATTTCTGTTCTTTCTTCACCCTGGTTGGACCCAACAAGCAAGAAGATTTATGAAGAGTTCTGGCTTACTATTCTATTATTTGTTTGATCTTCTAAAGACTGGGAACTTTGTGGCCTACCTGGAACGCTCTAACCTGGTAACACCGTACTAACTTCAGAGAAGTCCACCTCGACAGCCTCCTACTCACCACACTGCCCTGAACAATGCTCAGTATCGCGTCTCCAAATGGACATACCCGAAGGCTGCCAGAAAAGGAGGTCACATCCTCGCTCCAGGCTCCTTCCCTTAGGACACAAATGCTCCACAACTCCTGTAAGATGACTGTGTTACCCTCCCAACTTCCCTGTCTCCTCCCTTGCTTCTCTGCAAACGCAGGAGGCGCCTCCTATTCACCACGCCTTTGCTAGCTACCCTCGTGAAGGTCAGCACTTACACACCTTCCTCAGGGGAGGGTCTGCACGTCGGCATCTCCCACACCTACCCTCCCGTCACTGCTTGACTTTCCAGATTCTCCACTTGCTCTCATTCTCCTATCTCTTTCTCCACTGCTGCTCCCCATAGTTTAATCCTCATTTTCTCAATCAATATATTCTTTTTATGGCAATTTTATTCACCTCAGCAGGGTCAAATTTCTGCCCTTACACAAATATTTCTCAAATCTAACTTTTATCTGTTTCATAAGCTCCAAACAGCTGCTATATATGGAGTGTCCCAGTAGCAAATCAAATCCAACTCAAAATTCTCTCCTCCAGCGCCTTTCTAAATAAAAGGCCATTCAAAATTGGTGAGAGATTTGTGGAGGAGGGAACAAGGAATACAGGTCGAAGGGTACAAGCTGCAGATATGTAGGACGAGTAAGTCAGGATGCCTGGTGTACCACGAGGGTACTACAGTTAGTAATACCGTATTATACAGTATGCTGGGAGTCTGCTGAGTAGGTACGCTCTTGTCACATACACAGGTAGGTACATGTGTATGTAACTATATCAGATTAACATGTTAACTGGCTTGGCTGCAGCAATCATTTCACTATGTATATGTATATGAAAACGTTGTGACTTTCAACATATACAATTTTTAAAAATTGGTGAATTTGGTAATAATTTTTAAGCACTATGAACCCAAAAAGACAAAGGGATAATTTTATTAATATATAAAAATGATATATTTTGTTCCTACAAAAACCAGGAGAAAAAGGTCAACTATCCTATAAGAAGTACTGCTCACCAAAAAAAGATACAAAATAGCTCTAAACATTTTACATCTTTCAGATAAACAAAAAATACTCAGATATGAAAAAATGGGAACTCTCATACACTGTGGTAAGACTGTAAATCAGTAAGTACTTTGTGAAAAGGAATCTGACTACACCGAGCACACCTGAAAATATGTGAATCCTAAGTCTTGGTAATCCGGCTCTGAACTGTGTGCATAGAGCAGGGGACTCTAGTTTGAGTGCGCCAGAATCACCTCTTCAACTGATTGCTGGCCCCACCCTCAGAGCTGCTGATTCAGAGGTTTGGGATGGGCTCAAGAGGCTGCATTCCTAACAAGACCCCGGATGACCCTGACATGCTGGTCCTGAACCACATCAGGACCACTGCTGTTGAGAAACTCTGCACTTAAGACACAGACAGGAGCTGGGCGTGGTGGCGCATGCTTGTAATCCCAGCACTCGGGAAGCTGAGGCAGGAGGATCTTTGCAAGTTCTAGACCAGCCTGGGCTACAAAGTGAGCTCAAGGTCAGCCTGAACCACATAGCGAGACCCTGTCTCAAAAAAAAAAAAAAAAAAAGACAGACAGGAGTGTTCAATGTGACAATCTGTGCTGGCAAAACACTAAAACCACTGACAATGTATTAGTTGGGGAACAGATAAGTAACTTACATTATTTCCATATAATAGAAAACTGCGTTTTAGGATTTAAAATTAGTGAACTAGATTATAGCACTGTGGACATCAAACATAACACTAATTCAGAAGTTTTAGATGACACGTGTAGCACATTATCATGTACATTCTTTTACTTTATTTTTTTGGTACTGGGAATTGAACTCAGGACCTTGCACTTGCCAGGCAGGTGTTTGCGCCACTGAGCTACGTCATGCAGCCCCCTATCATGTACATTTTAATATTTAAGATTATTACAGATATATAGACGCAGTAGAAGGAAAAAAAACCACTGATAAGCTATGCAGCAATTTTATGATTACAGAAGGGAAGAACAGAACAAAGAAAATATAAGACACTTCAATTTGTATCTCATGTTGTTTTAAAATAAAGATGGTATGAGGCAAAATGTCAATGTAAATATATACTAGCTAGAGATGACAGGTATCTGAGTAAATACTATTCTTTGTACTGTTCTGCATATATATATATATATATATATATATATATATATAGTAGCAATACTGTAAGGACATGTTCCAGTCTAGTTCACGTTATCTGGTTTATATATAATAACCAAGGAAGAATTTTCTTTCCTGAGTATTTGGTTTGTTTTCAACTGTGAATACATAACATAAATCTTATAATTGATCTTGTTGCCCACTTTACTTGGCTACTAGGAAGCCCTAAGACAAATCTGTGATTTTTCTCTTGAAACTATAGGCTCATATACTGTTCTATGTATTTTATATATGATCATAAATTCATTCTATATGTTTTATTATTTTCTTCATTATCCCCTTTGCTATAATTCCCTGAACTGGTTTTTTTATATGTATTAAGTGTTTTTGTAATCTCCCTCAAATCTTTGGTAGAAAAAGGTTTAAATAAGTAACAATAGAATCACTTAATAATAACTCAACTCACAAATATTTACTGACTACTTAAATAACAAGCATTAATATGTATTAATAAGCTATACTTGCACCTTTAAAAGGTAAAACTGATAAATGAAATTAAATGCTGCTCCCATTGGTCATGAACACCATCCTATGAGCATTTACAATGAAAACACCTTATGTGACCACACACATACTTTGCTATCTCACTTGCGCTAGCAACCTAAGCACTGCAGTGGCATTTGGGGTGCTTTGGTTCATTCAATTCACGATTCCCTTTTAACATCAAGAAAAGTGATCAAATGCTGCTGTGGCCCCCTCCCAAGTAGGCTTACATTTAATAGAAAACATATTCTCACAAAAACTGTTTTTGCCCAGTAACAAGTAAATATATCAGTTTTACAAATCTCAGTTAACATTACTAGCCAGAATGAAATTTCAGAATTCTTACTTTTGGGCAGGGTAGAAATGAAGATTTGAATTTTACACGTTAGTTAAGAGCATAAAATTTGGCTCCAGAGGTGTGTGTGTTGGAGGCTCTGTTCTACACTGAGCCAGCACAGAATACTAATTTGAGTTTAAAGTTTTTTTTTTTTTAAAAAAAAAAACCTTCAAAGGTTAAAAAAAAAGAAATTGCCAAAATTTTCTAACAATTAACAGTTTACAAATTTTCTAAGCCCCCCAAAATGGTCAAAGTTTTAAAACTAGGTAATTTTAATCCCCTAATTGTCGTTACTGAATCTTGGTCCATTATTACAACCAAGGGGGGAAAAGTATTATTTTGGTCTTGACCATTGTTTCCCATCCTTTCTGTTTCTGACATTTTTTGGACAGGGTCTTACTATATAGTGAAGGCTGACCTTGAACTCATTATGTAACCCAGGCTGGCCTCTAACTCGAGGTAATCCTCCTGCCTCAGCCTCCCAAGTGCTGGGATTACAGGTGTGCACCACTACACCGGGCTTTCTGACTTAGTTTGTAGCCAAGTCTTTCTCTTTTTTAAAAACATGTAACACCATCTATCTTCCAGTTTTTAAAAATGTCTACCCAGTAGAACCGGAGACTCAGACTGGAGGAGCTCTAAGCACAGGCCCTGCTGGGAAGAAACTGACTAGGCTAGCACAAGTCTAATTAATTTCACTCACAGCAGGCACCACTGGCAAGGTATTCATCAGTAAAGAAGCTGGGTGCTACACGAGCTCTCTAGCACTTCATGCCAACTGCTGCAGAGGCCAAGCAGAAAAACAATTTTAGACAAAAAGAGTTCTATTTGAGGGTCAGAGGTGGAGAATCTTCACAGGAAACAGCTAGACCCAAAATATATTGTTTGTAGTTTCAAACAAGCTAAGAGAAGACTGTTCAAGTTCTCTGACAAGAAACTTATTTTTTTCTAGAACTTGCCAAACTTTCTAGAATGCTGACAATCTGAGGCTGAATGTATGTTATACAACCCATCTATTTTTCCTGCTCACTCTATTAATCCTGACCTGTGAAGAAGACCTCTTCTTAGTCACATCAAGAAATGAAAACAGCACTTCAACTATAACACTGCTTAAATTCCCTCAAAGGTAGCATTGGCCAACTACTAACAACACTTCCTAGCAGACACTGTTGAGACCATGAACTCATAACCACCTTCGACAAGAGATTTAAAAGAATTAGTATGATTTCTAACTAGAAGGTTAAACTTTGGAGGGCAGAGAAAAAAAAATGCATTAATGCTGTCATGATACACACATACTGCTTTTCTTTTTTTCTTCCTCTTCAGTACTGGGTATTGAACCCAGGGCCTTCACACTAAACTACATCCCTAGCCCTTTTTTGTTTTAAGACAGGGTCTCATTAAATCACTAAGTTGCTAGACTGGGCTCAAACTTGTGATCTTCCCTCCTCAGCCTCCCAGCGTGCTGGGATTAGTGGTGTGTGCCATCATCCCAAGGTAGGAATAATGCCCTGAGCTGGAATAGACACTTCTTTTATGAACTCTTCTGAACTCTTGTGAACTTTATGAACTCTTCTGCCTCCAGTAGACTTTAAGCTACTTAAACAGAATTTGGAACTTTTCTCTGTATCTATATCCCCTTACCACCTGGCAAAGACTGCCCACACCAAAGGTATTCAGTAAAAATACTTTGACAACTAAAACACTTACCTAATTACATTCAAGTTTAATTAACTTTTCTGATTTTTTTTCTGTCTTTTTGAGACATGGTCTCACTATGCAGTTGAGGC